CAAGGAGTTGTGTTGCATGTTCTGAAAGAAAGGGCCTGATCTTCCTAATGTTGTATAAAGCAAATCTGCAGGACCGGGCAGTTTTACCAATGTGGTCTGAGAAATTTAGCTATCATCAATCACAACTCCAAGGTTTCTAGCTGTTTTTGAAGGAGTTATGGTTGATGAGCCTAACTGGATGGTGAAATTTTGATAAAGTGATGGGTTTGTTGAAACCACAAGCAGTTCTGTTTTAGCCAGGTTGAGTTGAAGGTGATGGTCCGTCATCCAACAAGATATGTCTGTTAGACATGCTGAAATGCGAGCAGCTATTGTCGGATCATCAGGATGGAATGAGAGGTAGAGTTGAGTGTCATCAGCATAGCAGTGATATGAAAAGCCATGTTTCTGAAATTGAATTTTTCAGTGTCTCGAACTTAATGTGAGCAGTGACCAGTAGCCAGTGAAAGAAATTGTTGCTTTGAGGTGTGACTTTGACTCGTTAAAGACCAGCTGTACCGCTGCATTCAGTTGTAGAGGTTTGATTGCACATGCTGACAAGTCCAGACAGAAGAGCAATATTCCAGTCTAGAAATTACAAGAGCCTAGACAAGGAGTTGTGCAACATGTTCACAGTGATTGTGTTAAGCAAACCTTCATGACAGTGCTGTCTTTGCAATATGATATTGGTCCAGTAATATTTGCTGACCATGTTTGCTGCTCTAGAAATAAAATACAATTAAAATAATAGATGAAAATTAAAATGAAATGAAGCTAAAAAGAAAAAAAAAACTAAATTACTAAAATTTAAACAAATCTAAATGAAAACTGAAAATATAAAAATAAAAACTAATTAAAAACGGTAAATACTTCAATAGCTTATGAATAAGCATACCTGTCAACCCTTCTGTTTTTCCTGGGATTCTCCCGTATTATTTTGCATGTCCCCAACCTAAGGATTTAATCCTTTTTTATGTGAGGTCCATACAAAAAATAAGGTTGTCCGTGTTTCAGAATTTGTTGTGGGTGTATGAATGTGAGATTTCCCGGCCTGAAATTTTTTGTCCGCTCCTCGTGGAAATTAATGGTGCAGACATGCGGTTTCATTTACTACACATAGGCCTACTGAAGCTCGCGGTGTTTTCAGCCTCTGCCGCCTCAATATATGAGTACATGAACACATAATCTCTAGAACTGCTCTCTAGATCTCTAGAACTTCATGAGCATTTTACTTATTTTGAGAAAACTATCATCATATCATATACAAAGAGACACCAATGTTTCAAAAAGACACCAATGTTTCAGGAGTTTAGTACACAGAATAGGACACATGCTCATTAGATAACCGTATTTGAGTTGATGTATATGCTTTTATTTATTATTTTTTAATTAACTATTTTTTTCCAAACCATTGTTAGATGCAGTGTTTCCTGTAGTTATGCAAAGATTTGGTTTCAAAAACAGTATCAGTAAACTATTTCTTATGATTTTAAATCTGCATTGAACTTCAGATCAATTTCAAAGTAAAAGGTGGTACTAAAGTCTGATTTTGTGGTGGATGTGTTCAAATTTGATCATCTTAATTCAAGTGAGGAAGGATTTTGAAAGTCTGACAGTGTTGAGCACTACTGTAAGGTTAACCTTGCATGGTGTAAATGTTTGAAAATGATTAACAGTTGCAAATAAACATTCATTAGAAATTTATAAAAGTAATCAAAAAGTAATCAGAAGTAATCAGTTACATTACTTTAATAAAGTAATTGAAAAAGTTACACTACTATTACATTTTAAATAGGGTAACTTGTAATCTGTAACTTATTACATTTCCAAAGTAACCTTCCCAACACTGCCTACAACAGTGATGACTACCGCGGGAAGGAAAGGATCACTGGTAGAAATGGGACAGGAGGAGAACACTCAGGTGGTGCTCCGGTGAAAAAAACAAATATACATGCAAATTGAGATATAGCTTACACTTCAAAAGGCTATGGTTTAATTGATTAAATATGAGCGCTGCAAGTTGCAAAATCAGGTGCTGCTCTGCTTTGTTTACTGCGGTTACTGGGGAAATGGCTATATTCCTGGCGAAAAGCGAAACAATGAAGAGAGAATGAATTTGCATTTTATTTTTTTATGAAGAAAACACGCAGTTTGATATACACGCAGTTTAAATAATTAATAATATAATATGGATAATATAAAATAGCACCCCGCCCCCCCTCCCCGGTCTCCTGTATTTTGGGACCCAAATGTTGACAGGTATGTGAATAAGATTAAAATAACACTTTGCTGGTCATCATTTTCTAATTCACAAAATATTCTAAAACTTTTGACTGGTTGCAATTTGGTCAAATTTTGTTTCTAGGCCTTACAGTTCAAAAGTTCTTAGCATAAATATTAGTGCATCTTTGACCTGTTGGTGGCACAATAGGGTTTACAGATACAAGCAGGCCTTGCATTCCCGAAGAAGAAGAAGATCGAGATCTTACCATCCTTGGGAATATATGTGAAGGTGATTTGCATCCCACACTGCAATGCCAGAAATGTCACACCAGTGGAGCAAATGGCACGAAGAAACCTTCCAGTTTTCCCTGCATATGCACAAATAAACACAATTTTGCATCATTCAATTAATTTACATTTTCTCATATGATCTAAAAACCTTTTAGGTGTAGTTTTGTGAAGAATCTTGTGATAAACTTTCTTTTGATACCATACCCAATCTAAACCCTACTAAACCTAAACCTTACCCTGATATTATGAGTACACCCTTCAGGTGTGATGATTCTCTGAAGCCCACAAAATCCTGCCATTTTTTTAACCATACAATAACCACAAATGGCTTTAGTCAGGCTTCTCGTATCATATGTTCATCAAGAAAAGAAAGAGTGAAATAGAGTTTAAGTACTTAATAAGTACAATAAATAAAGTCAAAGTAAAAAATATATAAATAATACAGCCTTGGATAGAACAAAATCCAGTCATGCAGGGCTGACTGACAGGGCCTGCAAATCTCCAATACCTTTAAGGGACAACAAGGCCAATGACAATACTGACTTCAGAGTAAGAATCAGGGGCCGTCTTCAAACTATTGTGGTAGTCGCTGTGTTTTTTTCCCGCCTTGTAAATGCATTTAAATTCATGATATTTTCCAGAACAATCTCTTAATTTTCAGCAAAGAACTGAATTGTGCCGGCTTTTTCGCAAGGAGTGAATAAAACTGACACTCTCCATGTTTCATGTGATTCGCTGTTTGCTGCAGATGCCTACGTTTCAGGTGCACATGCTCCAGAATTAATCATAAACTCGGGATCAAACCCTGAGTTGACAGAGAACAGTGAGCATTATGAACCCACTAAGCCTAATCTAAACCAGGTTTGATTTGTTTGGTTTTGTCAAGTCTTAACCTACTCTGAAACTCAGAATTTGTTCAAATAGCTTCTTGATAAAGGCCGAGGTGGTATCTTCTGTACTCTGGTGTGATCTGTGCTTCCTTCTGATATATGACTCATAACTCTGATTTGGCAGCACTGGTAGACTGTTTCCATGTAATATGACTGATTCCAATGGGGTATACAGAACTGCTGTGTGCTGGCTTTCTGTGAGATGTGATTACACTCAGCAATGCCTGATGCAGCCATAACACCCAAGTTCCTTTGCATACACATCTCTGAAAACCTTTGCCTTCACTCAGACACCATAGTGAGAACAGCCCTGTCTCTACTTTCTGCGGAGGCTGAAGAGGTTTGGCATGCCCTCTGACATCATGTCAAGCTTCTACCGCTGCACCTTAGAGTGCATTCTGACCAGCCACATCGCTGGTCAGCTCTTCAGAGAGTGGTGAGAACAGCTGAGCTCATCACTGGACATAAACCCCTGGCCTAACAAGACATTTAAAAGACATGTTACTTGAGAAAGGCCTGCAGCATAAACAAAGACTGCACTCACCCTGCTCACCACCTGTTTGCTACAGTGCCGTCTGGCAGACATTACATTCCCTTCAATCACAATCATTAAATTTCCTACAGATTATTTATTAAACTTTTGTGCGCAAAGTTCCTAAGTACACTATTCTTTATTTTTCTCAAATCATCTTACCACACATGAACATGCAAGTGAGAAGCTATGTTTCTGTTAGCTGTTCCAGCACAGTGTTTCATGGTAAAGTCGTACTCCTGGAGTACAACGAACCATTATATTACATTGGCATCAAGCGGCAATCTTCCAGTCTCTCTCGTGAAACCAACATGGAAGTGACTAAAACTGCAATTCATCGACTGGCCGCTAGAGGCTTGTGTGGCGTTTAGCATTCAGTGAATTCTGACTGTGTCACCCTGTATCTATTTATATATTTCTTTATTAATATCTTAATATATTATTATATCTTATATTAATCATTTGCACACACGAGCATTATCCGGCTCCGCTCCTCCCGACCGCAGACGCAGGTTTACAAGCCACTTTTTCCTGCGTTTTTCAGTCAATTTCTTGACTTTTTCCCCCTTATGAACAACACATTTTCGTACACGATAAAAGCTCCTTGTGGTTTCTCGGTTTGGTCGATTTGAGCATCCATAAACAACGCAAAACACAGGCATTTTGAGTTTTGTTAGTGATTTCTATGGAGAAAAATCACTTCCCGCCCTCCAGCTGCATTTCACGCTCATCAGAATCACGTGATTGCAAACCACCTATAGCTAATTTTGCCCTTCATGACAACTGTGAGGGGGGTGAATTTTTTTATAACTCATCCATTTAAACTATATTAAGCCTTAAAGTTCTGCATAATTAAGAGTGTGGCCATTTGAGTGACAGGTGGATTGCCGCTGCTGTCACCACCATCGAGCTAGGTGGGCGTGGTTTCAGCAACCAGCTCCCGCCTCTTTGCTCATTTTCGATTATCCGTGAGTGACGCGCTACCAAGATGGCGACGGCCCGCCCTGCCCACTTTGAGCTTCAAAAACGCTCTTCAGAACCCTACGGGTGATGTCACGGACACTACATCCATGTTTTTAAACAGTCTATGATTGGCATCCATGTTCTTGGCTCGAGCCATCCACTCTAGGGGTGAATACTGCAGGCATTTTCTTCTTTCAGCTTGCGCAGCTGGCTGAAACCTGCCATTTGTTTTGTTTTTGAGTCACTCTCAATAAAGTTTCAGTTTAGCATCTTTCTGATACTGAGTCCTTGTTCAAAGAATCTGCCAGTTCAGAATTACTTGAAAATAATAGGCTGGTGTGTTGAACTGAAGTCTGCTGGAATGTATCCCACCTGAAACAAGGTTGGCTACCCCTGCACTACAATCTAATGTGAGAGTTGATCTTGGATAAATATATCTGCCAAATGAATAAATGTAAATGATAATCAGAATAAACGATTGTTGCATTCCTTTAGTCATACTGTCATGATTTTATCACAGTCTATTTTGAAATTTTAAAACTCCCATTTAACTTCAACACCCACAGCATGGCATATATGTCAAATCTGGAAACCTTTTGGCACCAACACAGAACTGACAATTCATAGTCCCTTCACTAACCGCCTGATACTTCTTACAAAAAAAAAAAATCACCTTCTCTAGCTGCCCCCAGCCCAAAAACATGATCCTAATCATCTGATCCATGAGTTCACTGATGTATTCTCTGCTATTCCCCAGGTCAGACCATATAATGGCACACAACATCCACACTCCAGAAGTTGTCATAAGGCAGAGGCCCTAAGCAGTACCTGGGCTTCTAAACAAGTCTGTTTACAATGGTTTACCATTTTGTTTGGTGCCTGATGATGGCCCAAAAGAAGACAATCCTTGCAGCAGTGGTGGAAAGAGTACTGAAAATTTTTACTTAAATACAAGTACTGTTACATTGCTGAAATAATACTCAATTACAAGTAAAAGTACTGGTGTCAAAACAGTACTTAAGTAAAAGTACAAAGTACTCCTCTCAAAAACTACTCAGAGTACTAGTTACTAGTTACTTTTTAGCCGGCGATATTTAATGAATTACCAAAAAATATTCATATCAAAGATCTATGTGGATAATAGAATTTTATAACCCACTTTTATCTTATTGACAAAGTATGTGAATTAGTGGTCATGATACAGGAATTTCTAACTTCAATACCTTGAAAAATATCAATATGAAAGTACCCGTGAACCGGAAGTTGCAACTGACTTCAGTGTTGTGATGTATTTCTGAGTGAAACGGAACATTGAATAAAGTGCTGCATTGCAATTGGACTTGTTCAATGGCCAATCAGCAGGCAGAGGGTTGTAATTTGGCATGTTCTTTAAAATGGACCAGAGAATACCTCACAAGCCATCTCATTTTCCTCATTGTCCTCTGTTTGTCTCATGCGGAGAGCCAAAAGCATTTATAATGATCAAAGGTGCATCTTATTTGTTGTCAAACTTGGCTGCTTGTCTTCACAAATGTTAATAGACACGCTGTGAATTACCTTCATCAACCTCATGTTCTGTCGCTTTGGCTGTCTGCTCAGTCGTTCTTGGCAAGCTTTATTGTCATTCAGCTATGTGCCTTACACAGGGGAAAGATGTGGCATTTCTCCTAGACCTTGATACAAAATCAAAGAGATGATAGTATATCTGGGCAGCAGTGGTGGAGGGTGGGGTTTTATTGTGGTGCACCTCCACTCCACCTCTTGCTCATAGCAGATTCACGGTTGGATAATGGTTATGAATATCTGCTTGTTACGTCTAACATCACGCTTCACCGCTTCTGGGTCCTAATGCTCTGCCAGACGCCCCCAAAAAACAATACAAGTACTGTTACATTGCTGAAATAATACTCAATTACAAGTAAAAGTACTGGTGTCAAAACAGTACTTAAGTAAAAGTACAAAGTACTCCTCTCAAAAACTACTCAGAGTACTAGTTACTAGTTACTTTTTAGTCTGCGATATTTAATGAATTACCAAAAAATATTAATTCATATCAAAGATCTATGTGGATAATAGCTACTTTGTCAATAAGATAAAAGTGGGTTTTGTTCAAAGTATGTGAATTAGTGGTCATGATACAGGAATGTCTAACGTCAATACCTTGAAAAATATCAGTATCAAAGTACCCGTGAACCAGAAGTTGCAACTGACTTCAGTGTTGTGATGTATTTCTGAGTGAAACGGAACATTGAATAAAGGGTGGGGTTTTATTGTGGTGCACCTCCACTCCACCTCTTGCTCATAGCAGATTCACGGTTGGACAGGAGTGGTTAAGAATATCTGCTTGTTACGTCTGACATCACGCTTCACCGCTTCTGGGTCATAACGCTCTGCCAGATGCCCCCCAAAAAACAACAAACTGTGCATATACACACTCACGATGTCATGTAATACTGAAAAATTATAACCCTAACCTTTATATCCATACTGAAATCCCAGGTGGCCTGATAGTGATTCAGCTAAAATATTAGTGTCTGAGACCCTGTGAGCACGGAGACTGCAGTGTGCACAGCAAATTTTTAAATGCTTAAATATGTAATATTAATTTAATAGTGCTCATAAATGGCTGTTGAGATAGTATTCAAGTGAAATAAATAGAGGCTTGGACCCGGAAACAGCAGTCCTTACATCATGACTTAAGAAGATTCTCCCAAAGCCAGGGATGCGGGAAGTAGGGGTGCTGAGGGGGCTGCAGCACCCCCTGTTTTCACATGGTTGCAAATGCAACGCCAAGTTTGTTCATTTAAATGTATTCAGTTTTAGCATTTAATAATTTATTTGTAATGATCTCTGAAATGTAAATTGTAAGTGGGCTATAATAAACCCATGTTTATCTTTATAAACATGATTAATTTTACTTGTGATGTTTTCTATATGGGATGATTAGCCTAATCCTCATGAACACGTGACGCTAGCGCGTGGTATCAGACATGAACTGTACAGAATGCGAACAAGATTAACTTTAATACAAGGAGATAATGGCGCAAAAGCGAATATCAGATTTTTTTAAATGCCCATCCCAGCAAAAACTTTCCAAAATCGGCATCCAAACAACACCAGCCCCAGCACCGACGTAAGTGAACCAGCCCCCCCTCCCCTCACCCAAAACGGACACACACAGCACCCCCAAACGAAAACATCTTTAAACTAAAAAAGTAAGTAGGGTCATTTTTGATTTCATGACGACTAATCATTTTCAATACCATTGGCAAAACTACCACATACTGTCAGGGTTGGGGATGAAGGGATGAGGCGAGGACTCAATGGTGCAGGAGATAAGGGCTTTTTATTCAAATAAAACAAAATAAACAACAAAAACTACCCCGTGGGGGGAAAAACAGGCTGGCCACGATCTGGACACGACACGACAGGACACATCCAGGGAGATACGATGAAGAACTCGCACGGGACTGCAAACACAAGGAGAATAAATACGAAGCAAATGAGGAGGGTAACGAGGGAACACATGTGGGGAAAATTAACCAATAATCAGGTAAAAAGATGGGTGGGGTCAAGACAATTGACATGAGAGCACATGGCACACAGGAAACCACAACAAAAGCCATGTGCTCACACAAAACAAACACAAGCACATGGCCAACAAAACAAATCACATCACATGGCCAGCAAAACAATCACAAGCCATGTGCTTGAACAAAACAAGACACGAACACGCAGCTAATGAGAATACTCATAAGCTGCGTGTTCACACAAGACAAGACAGCACACAGCCAGCGAAAACCAAGCTGCGTGCTACACAGCACAAGACAAAACAGGACATGAAAGCACGCAGCCGATAACACGAGCTGCGTGCAACAACAACACAAGACAATAAGAAAAGCACGTGGCCCAACACAAACCACGTGCTACACAAACACAACACACTTGGACAGAAGAGCGCACGGCCAAGCGAACTCGAGACCGCACGCTCCCACAACCAGACAGAACATGGAGCGCGAGAGTCCGGACCCCGACACGAAACCGAAACTCAACAAGACATGAGTGCCGGGATCTGAACACCACGCTCCAACATGAAACGGTACACTCAGACGAGAGCGCTCTCGAAGCCGCACGCTCACATGAAAACAATGACATGACGGGAGTGTCAGGGCTCTGTCACAAAACCATGAATAACACTAGACCGAAGTGACAGAACCCTGACACATACTGTATACTGCCATATATATATTTTACAGAAAATACATAGAATTTTACTTTTTTTTTGTCCATCCATTTTTTTCAAGGCAATCATTATTTCAAGCTTTGAAATTAGTTTAATCCAAGTCTTCTAAAAAGACACATTTGCTTTATATGAAGAACAGATTTAAATATAGGCTTTTATTTACATACATATAAATATTGATCAATTACCATTACAAAAATCTCAATCTTAAACATTTGCTCATTCTGTGTATTTGTGTCTTTAAAATAGAGTAACTTTGTTGCAAAAGCTTACAGCACAAGGAAGCTTGTTTTCACATTTGATTTAAAACTTAATTGAATTTACAAAAAAAAGACAAGTACACAGTCAGTAATAAAATTATAAAACAAATGACCTCAATTCAGTTTGAGGTACTCAAAATATGACAACACTGAATTTTTATAAGCAGTTATTTAAGAGCCATATATAGTATGTTAGGCCTATTTATTTAGATCAATGGAACATCAGATGACTTTGACCTGTAATGATTGTTCAATGTAGTGATGCAGTTAGGCAGACTAGGATATTTATATGTACAAATCAGACAAATATCCCATTACAAAACATTTTAGCATAAACTTACATTGTAAAGAAATTAAAGTTCCATCTTTGATTGTTGAAAGACTTTCTGGTGCATTTCACTTACAGCCAATAAAATTTCCAATAGCATTTTCATCGATCAGGCGCGGATCTATTCTGATAACTTTTGACAAAGTTTAATCCAAGAGCAAAGAGAAATAATTTCTAGTTTAAAAGCACGGAGAGATCGCGATTGCACACAGTCTGAGTGCGCACAAGCAATATCGGAGTGAGAGGACAGGCAGTTCATTTGTATAAGTTAGGCCTATTTGAGAGCTCGCATCCAGTTTTCTGCGATTACATGACTGTGTTCTCATGTTACAATAAAGTGCCCGCCACATTTGCGTGTGAATTATTAAAATTATGTGGAATACCTGCAATCCCGCGCGGATATTCAGACTCTGTAATTGACAAGAGGCGGATGCGTGTCAAACTCATTGTCGGAGAGGAAAGAGAGATAAAAATAACGAAGTAGATTATTTTGCTTAATTTGTACTTAAGTACGAGTAAAAGTACAGCTTTAAAAATTTACTCAAAAAAGTACAAGTACCCGAAAAACGAGAAGGGTATAACTGCAGCCTGGAGAACTCCAAATGGGGGAGGGAACTCCAAAACAGGGTGGGAGCTCCAAAATAGGGCGTGACTTCCTCCCACTGACAGACAGGCACATGACACGCATGCGCAATTTTTTCCCCCAATCCACTTCAGTGCAAACTCCGCCCCACAGCTGATTCTAAAGATTTTATTGGTTGTGTCAATTAAAGTGTTGATTTCCTACACTATGCTACAAAAAATGCTAACCCCTAAACCTACCCCACACCTGACCCTAACCTTAACCAGTGAAATTGACTGCACGGGCGCTGAATAGCGTGGTAAAGAAAGTTGCAGTTCAGGAGATAAACAGTTAATAAGATTATGTGATATGAGACTGTTCCGTAACTCCCCAACCGGACCTCACCAGACAATGGCACCTTTTTGGTTACACCCAGCGTTACTACCCCCTCCTACCCTGCGAATTTCGAGCCCCGGGACGCCACCGTTGCTTGGAACAAAGCGATAGAGTAAAATCTTTCCTCTATATATATATATATATATATATATACACACACACACACATTGTATATATATAAACTATAATACAACCTTTGTAAAAATGCTAACACTGCAAACTCTGTCTGTTAATTATCGCTGTTTGATCCTGTGCTTTTACCCCACAGGATATAAGTCATTAGTCCTTGTAAATGTATGGGAAATGAGAATGCTTTATCGTCTTGCTTGGATAAAGTGTTAGATTTTGATTATTTAGCAATAAACCCATTATATTTGTGAAAACACTCAGCTGATGCAGCAAATGTGTTTCAGGATTGTCAAATTTTTACTAAAAGCATTATGTCATCTTTTTTTAAGCTGAGACCTTACACAATCATACTATCCTTTACTTACATTTTACAGTAAACACTGAAAGGGAGTGTGAAAAGATGGAATAGGTGTGTATGTGTGTGTGTGTTATAAGGCTAAATTAGTTTAAAGTGAGGACAGAGGAAATAAATGGAAATAAGTGAGAAAATGTCTGACATGATTGTATGGATCTATAAAGCACTCAACCAAATGTCCACTTGAAGGTAATCTCTATAGCTTAACTCTGCTGACAGCACAACTCTATGTAATTATTGTAATGCATCATTGATGAGATGGCTAGAACAGTATTTGCTGAATTGAGAAGAATACCAAACAAAAATATACTGGGTGACCTGAATCACTACAACAAAAACAAATGTGCATATGCATTTACTTTAACTAATTTCTGCAGCAATTTTGTGAATGCTCCACAGTCATTATTATAAATGTATGCATAGAGTTTTTGCTACTACTGTAACAGATTAACTGTATATACATAAGCCTCATTAAACTGATAAAGAACACTACAACATATACATTTTCTCTTTTATCTTCTCTGTAAGAAAAGCTTTTACTAAATATTACACTACCTTAGAAATTACCTTATTAACAGTGTTGGGAGTAACTAGTTACATGTAACGAAATTGCGTAATTTAATGACAAAAAAATTAACTGTAATCAGTTACAGTTACTGAGAATTTTTTTAAATTAAATTACAGTTACTTATGCAAATGTTAAACACATACACAGATTTAATTGATTTCTTTTCCTGTCATAGCCATGCAAAGATTTGATTTCAAAAACAGTATCCTATTTCTTGCTATGGTTTTAAATCTGTATTTAACCTCAGAACGATCTCAAAGTAAAAAGAGGTGCTTTTGTGGTGGATATGCTTTAAAAATAAATTATAATCTTGATTCAAATGATGAAGGATTCTGAAAGTCTGACAGTAATGAGTGTTGCGTACCACTGTAATGTTAATCCTGCCTGCTTTAAATGTTTCAAAATCATTAACATTTGAAAACATTCGGTAGAAATTTAGAAAAGTAATTCAAAAGTAATCAAATTTAATTAGTTACATTACTTTAATAAAGTAATTGAAATAGTTACACTACTTATTACATTTTAAATAGGGTAACTTGTAATCTGTAACCTATTACATTTCCAAAGTAACCTTCCCAACACTGCTTATTAGATAAAGATAAAGCATTATTCATTACTCAAGCATTACTTACCCTTCATGGAAGCCAAGTTTGGACTGGGAAACAGTGGTACGGACAGAAGGAACAGAAGATACACAACTGATAGCCCATTGTACCTCAGTGATATTGCTGTGGGGGGAAAGTAATTACAGTATAAGTATAAAAAAAACACAGAGACACAGGAATGTAGTGGTATGCATTTGGCGTCATTATTTTATATGCTTTTTAAGCTACTATGCTTTTCTATGATCCTATGCTAATCCAGATAATGTGAAACTAACTCTACAAGACAGCTGTAGTAACAGAAGTTGAGCCTTTTTGTTAGAGTTATTTAGTCATGGCATCAATTTGTAGGCTAGTACTAATGTACTAACTACATGTACTAATGCTTGTAATAAAAATCACAGTTATACGTCCAACATGAAATTTTGGTTATGTTTTAGAACAAAATGGTAAGGTCTCTTGAAGAACATGACATGATCCCACTAAAATGTCATTCAGTGTAACAAAAGTTTATACTGTATGCCAGTCTTGTCAGGCATATTTAAAACAAGAATCATTTTGGTGACATATTAGAAGGTTCTGTTTAAGGACCACAGTGCAGCTTCTAAAATACAAATTATTTGAAATGTAAAATTGTTCTTCTTTGCCAATATCGTTCAAACAACTAGGTCTTACACAGTTGTCAAGCAAGATGTTTTTGTAAGGAAGTGAAAATAATTAAAAATATATTTAATAATATTAATAGTAATAATAATAATAATAATAAACTTTACAAATATAAAATTTAGTATGATCATATATTTTTTTTATAAATGTAATAAGTACAGGTCAGAATAAGTATCATATATTGTTTTGTGTTTTCATAAATGTATCTGATATGTAAATACAATTAAAAAATAAAATAAATATGACTATGGAAGTCATAAGAGGTCTTATATGGATTATTCATATTTTTCTTTCTTGTTTTCTTCTGATCACAACTTATTTATCTCGTGATCTCGACATAACGGATATTGACTTTGCCAGAGCTATTAATAAAACAAATATTTCCACATTTTATTTGTATTACCCTATTATTTTAATGAGTAAGTTAAGGCTAAATTATTTTTAATTAATGTTTCTAAAAACAAGCTCTATACTCTCGTGACTCTCAAATCTATTAATATAAGTATTGCGTGAGTGGACTCTCTTCTTCTGGTGGTGGTTGAGGAGAGACCCCCCCCACATTATTGTAAAGTGCTTTGGGTGTACAACAATACACAATAAAGCGCTATATAAATGCATCATTCATTCATTCATTCTTGTTCTGTTCCTGCTTTTGTCTGTGGAGATATGCTAAATAAACAAAATGGACATTCGTCCTTTTTTTTTTAATAAACCCACAGTTAATAGAGTGGAAGTCTCTAACTCTGACACTTCCAATATTTATTCTACTGCCACAGCAATCGAGGCCGCGTCAGAGAACACCTCCGGCCCTGGAGCCTGCAGCACCAGTACAACCACTGTGTTGCTCAACCCGTAGCGTCTGGATACGTCAACGACCTCGGGGAGAAAGCAACAGAGCCGAAACAGCCCATACTTTATGTGTATGTATAAATATGGTATATATGGTATGTAAAAAAAATCAGAGCTCGTTCTCTGCCGGTAGGTGCCTCCCCCGGGCTAAAATGTGAAACTCCACCTATGCTCTGAATCCTTCTGAAGGCGCTTAGCCTGTGTTTGCGGTGTTAAATGCTTTGACCATTTAAACATGTTAATTACACAAACAAAATGTTTCTGGAAAAAAAATTGACAGTGATTGATTAGCCTGTATTTATTTATTTAAGATGTTATTCCCAAAGTCCCTTTAAGGCAAGTCATGTCCCTTGGTGGCCATATTTGAAACGCCTCTCAGACATGCAAGTGCAGATCCTATCTCTTTGAACGGGGAAACATCGAATTCTCCAAAACTGTTCACCAAGTTTAGGATTAAATTTCATATTTGAAATCACCAATGAAATCTGACAACAACTGTCTCATAAATGTTGTTTCTTTTGCTCAAATAGCATTTTAAAAAAAGATTATTTTTCAGGCTAGACCAGCCAGTGCGCATGCACAGTCCTAAGCACACGTCTCAGAAAGCTGACTGTTTCTATAGCAACAGGGGCTTCTAACCGCAGCTGCAGTGACACGACTGACTTTACCGATTAGCGATTGGCTCTTTTACTCAGAAGGCGGGGCTTCGTTCGATAGAGAGGCCATACTGAGGGTTGCATTTTTCCCCATTCAAAACTATACGACTGACACGTCTTGGGTATTCTATAGTCTTTGTTATTACTAAGCGAAGCAAAATTTGCTGAAATATCCACAACTCAAAGTTGCATTCGTTACTATAGCAACAGTAGACTCGTGATGCATTGTGTTTTAAAAATCAAACAATCGAAAACAACTTTTATGTCGAGATCACAAGAGAACAAGAAAGAAAAATAATCATAAAAACCTGGCCTGTGGAGTCTGTTTGTAGGGCTTTCTACTGCTCTTCAGACTTTTGAATGTGCAACTGTGTTTATGAGTGGGCAAGCAGCAGTGAGGAAGAGCATAAAGAGGAGCAAGCTGAGGAGGACATCACCAGCCAAGGTAGAAACGAAGTTCAGGCTTGTTTTTTTGAGAGGCCCCTTGCCAAGGAGGAAAAACCTTTGCATTGGTGGAGGTCAAAACAACCCACCTATGCATAATCCACCTATTCATCCTCACACCTCAAAAACATCTGAGCACCTCTTCTCTGCTGCAGGCATCATAGCTTGCAAAAAGAGATCCAGCCTCAGCCAGGTTTCATCCATAATGAAAATAATCGTTAATTGCAGCCCTAATTTTAAGCCTAAGTAGATCGTAGAATTAATCATACAAATCATCTAAAACATACAAGCTGATTCCAAAAAGCGACAGAACTTAAGTGGTACTTGAAAATCAGTGTAATTCAGTCACCTGCAGGACAACTACAAAATCATATCTAAACTTAATACAGTTATGACTGTAATATTAGAACTTATTTATTAATATTCTGTTTACTTACTCAATATTTTTAAAAAGAATTACACAAATTTAAATGAATGCATAAAATAATTTGAAAAGATAAATAAGTATACTGATTAATAATATACACTGTGTTAAACACTGTTTACACAAAAAAAAAAAAAAAAAAAAAACGGACACAAAAAGGCCAGGTAGAATGGAACCCCCATTTAATGCTTAATTAGTTACATTTTTACGTAACTTATTCATTTGTAATTGTTGTCTTCAGAATGGAAATGGTATTTCATTGGATTATTATACTCTTTTATCGGTAACACTTTATAATAACTTTCATTAATAAATCATTAACATACATTATATAATGCTTAACAGATCATTAGTTAATATTCAAACAGCTAGAAACAACAAGCAACATTATGGTGAACTAATAACCTTATTAAACATTACCTAATGGTTAACAGATAATTATTTCATGTAAATTAAAAAGCTTACAAATGTTATTAAACTTTCAATTCATATGATCATGCACTTCTTGAAAATCTTCAAATGATTTTAATACATGTTATACAATGACTAAAAGCTTTTGTTAATACACAACAATTTTGCTGCTATTGAGGTGTGATACGGGTTAGGTTAGGGACGGGTTTAGTGGTATGGGTAGGTTTAAGGGTTGGTTAAAGTGTCAGAAGTGTACAGGGTCAAATTAAGAAAACACCATTCAAACTGTTTATATTACATTGTTTTCATAAACGAACAAGTATTTTCTTAAAAATTATATATTTTTTTTCCCTTTTGATGTATGATTAAAGGAATATTCTGTTTAATGATACACAATAGTATACTAATATAGGTGTTGAGGCAGTTAAAACATGTTTTGCACCCAAATTACAATGTGTGTGATGTCTTTAGAAAGCTAAACTTAACTAACCATTCTTAACACAAACGCTGTTACAGCAGCTAAATGTCTAATGCCTATAAAGGAACTGAATGATTAATAAACATTTACAAATGATGAATAGTTTCAACTTTAGATTGACTACTGTAAAAGCATGAATAAATTATAAATAAGTGATTATTATTAAAGATGCGAAAATAGGGGTGAATTCTGGTCATTCGGGACACATTTTGCCATGGAGATGACTGCTCATAAAAGTACTAATGATTAGTAATCATTTATAAACCTTTACAAATGATGAATAGTTTACACTTTAGATTGGGTACTGCAAAAACATGAACAAATAATTAATAAATGATATGTTAAGATGTGAAAATAGTCCAAGTCTACACAACCATCAAAGACAAAATATATGATCTTTACAGACTTTGATTTTGAGTTGAATAATATGTTAACATGAATAGTTTTTTTTTTTTTTTTTTGTAAAAAAATACCATTAGGTAATATGTGAACTGAATTTAATGACATTTGTTAGCATTCAAAATTACATTAACAAATAAGCTTGTAATCATTGTATAATTTCTATTAAAATCATTTGTGGATTTTTAAAAAGTGCATGATCGTATGAATTGAAAGTTTAACATTGCAATTTACAATAAATAATTATGTTATTTATTTGGTAATTTTTAATAAGTACATTAGTAAACATTGACAAGAACATTATCTTATATTTCTAGCTATAGCTATATGTTAAGCATTATGTAATGTTTGTTAATGATTTATTAATGAAAATGATTAAAGTGATCTTTTATCTCTTTTGTCTTCTTGCATTATTGACAAACTATTTTCCTGTTTGTCACTGTAAAGCTGCTTTGACAATCAGTATTGTACAAAACGCTATACAAATAAAGGTGACTTGACTTATCTGATTGCAGATTATATTAATAATAATATTCTGAGAATGCATTACTAGTAATTAGGCACGCAATGCTCTGAGTAGTATTAATGATACTGTGTCAGGAAGTGAAGTGAACAAATCTGATTACTGTCATATCAAATAGTTTGTATTTAGAAGTAAACTATTTTGATCTCAGTGGCCTTTGACAGCTTATACTCACACAGCAAAATCCCAGAGTTAATTCAACTCTGCTCAGAGAACATTTGGTCCCACTCTACATAGTGTTAAAATAACACTGAAGCAGCGTTAACGTTAATGAGA